TAACTTAAAGGACAACAATGTCCTTCCCTTAAATATGCATAGAGATTGTTAGGTGGGTCGGTGCTGGAGTGATTCCGGTGGTGGATGACGGCCTGAAAGGAAGTGGGTCAGAAGGTGAGTTGTTGTGTGTGTGCGTGTGTATATATATGTGTGTGTCTGTGTGTATATAGATTATATGTGTCACAGCCTGTTTTTTTTTTTTTTATTTATTTATTTTTTTATTGAACTGGGTCCTCTCTCCCTCCTCTAATATTTGCTCTTATCTTTTATCAAATCCTTTACTTACTGAAGAAGAACCATAGCCAAGTTGAAATCTTTGAAGAGGAGAATGAGAGACCCATATATATACGTAAGTGTGTTTATATATATATATATATATATATATATATATAGAGGTTGTGGAATCAATTGTGAAATTTAATTTGGTCCTTGCAAATTGTTCAAGGTGGTTGTTGCCCCCTCCTGTGGCAGGTGCTCATGAACAGACCCAAAATGGGCTTCTACCAAGACGAGAGAGAAATTATGTTTTTGTTATTATATATATAAATAAATGTATATATGATTTGTTGTTGAGAGATGAGAGGAGAGCAGAGAGGTATGGTGGTGGCGGCGATGGGTGGAGGTGGCGGCGGTTGGAGAAGGTGACGGTGGGAGTAGGTGAAGAGGAGAGAGGAAGATGTTTATGAACAATCTGAAAATGGGTTTTGACCCAGAAGAGAGAATTATGTTTTGGGTATTATATAATAATAATAATAATAATAATGCATATATGATTTTGTGTTAAGAATTAAGAGTGAGGAGAGGAGAAAGAGGTGGTATGGTGGTGGTAGCAACTGTGGGTGGAGATGGCAGTATTTAGAGTAGGCGATGGTGAGAGAGAGTGGGAAAAGAGAGAGTGGAAGAAGAGAGGGGAAAGAGAATACACCGGGAATTCACAGGAAGTGGTGCATACATTTGATCGTCTAAAATTCACCGGAAATCAGTCTCCTTAGGTTTTATGCACTGTCGGCGTCCATAGATGTTGAAGTTCTGCGCAACGTCCTCCACGTGTCAGTCACCATTGACTATGGGTTTGACTTTGGTGGGTGACTGAATCAGGTGTTTTTCAGTTTATTAGTCTTAAACGATCGTTGGACAAGAATGAAGCACGGCACGATGGGCGTGATGAACGGCAACATGACTGTACCGGCGGTAAAGCCAGAATGAACTGCAGTTCCGACGTCGGAATGGTGTGACTGAACGGCGGTGAAGCGGGTCTGACTTTCCTGGCGATATGAACAACAATCAACAAGTTGTTCTTACCGGCGGGACAGGCGAACGGCGATAATGGACGACGGGAAGCTAGGAGTGAAACAAGACGGGGTGATCTATTATAGATTTGGAACAATATTAAAGGACATTTTGGCCTTTTAATTTCATATACAATTTATGTATAAAAATATTCATATACAATTGGTGGACAAAATTGTAATATCACACCATTCCGTTAGTAAGAAGACGGCAGTTACACTGAGGGGAGGTAAGTGGAATATTAAAACGTAAAAAAGGTGTAAGTGAGATATTGCCCAATGTCAGGGAGAGTGTAGGTGAAATTAACCCTAAGAAAATCAGGGGGTGCAAAGAAGCTCATTTACTCGAATGCCTGTTTTCTTGTGAGTTCAACTGTTTTCAGTCTGTGCATGAAAAGCCTATTATGAACTACAACTCATCAAACTGCTTCAGGAACATAGAAAAAAAGATAAAAAAAAACCCAGACTTTTCACAATTAGCTTCCTGCAAATAACATCACCTACCCTTGTGAACTTTTGTAATCATCGGCCATTTGTTGCAAGACTTTCTCTGGACTCGTTAACAAGCTTGTTAATGGCATGTTTATTTGTTTTGGCCGGCCAAATGACTTAGCATCTGTAGCAATTTAGGCATGAAACCCATCTCTCAATCGAAAGCTCAGCTCTCTCTCTCATCGCGGAATCCAGCCTGCCCGTCTCTCTCATTGCAGCGGCGACAGCTTCTCTTTCTCTCTCTCATCGCAGCAACGCGCGTCCCTCTCTTTCTCATCGACGTTTTTTTTTTTTTTTTTTTGTCTCTCTCTCTCTCTCTCTTATTGTAGCAATCGTGAAGCTTTTCCGTGGATTCAATCGTACTCCTCTATTCTCTCTTTGATCTTACATATATATCTATGTTTTCTCTAGTTAGGGTTTGTCAAGTCATGCTCGTGGTTTCAGATTTCACGATGTTCAAAGTTTTATCAGAAATTCTAATCTATCTTCCTATGATATGATCTCTTGATTGTAGTAATTATTGGGTATATGATGAGTTGATTGATAAACCTACTATGCTATGATAAACCTGTTATATGTGTGAGTTTGTATTTTATTATTGTTGGGTATTTGGTGAATTCTTTATTTGCCATTATGGGAAAAAAAAAAAAAAAATCAAATCAAAGTTGTGATATAAAATATGATCATATTTGCCATTATGGGAAAAAATTTCAACAATTGGAGAAAAAGCAAATCAGTGCCGGCAAAGAAGCTAAAGTTCAGAAACTGTTTTCATATAAAGGAAATTTAGACTTTATTTTTGTGTGATTCATGGTATCTTCTTAGTCCGCCTATACTCATTGTTGTACTAAGCATGCTCTTTGTCTGTGTCATTGCAGCTGAAAAGTTGAACTCATAATGGTGATTATCATCATACCCACTATCTATCTTCATGTCCAACTCATCCCAAGCTTTCAAATTTCAATTTAGGGTTTTCTAATTTCTCTGTGATTGAATCCAAATATTCCCCCACAATGGGTCTCCTCTGTAGCAAAATAAGGGAAGAACATCCATATTCAGAGGTCAAGTCGGTAGAACAATACAGCAACCGAGTCATCATCACACTGGGAGTGGGCGTCGAGGGTGGGCCACTCTCGGTGGACTCACTGGGAGACCTCACAGACGGCATCCTCAAAACGAAACAAGAAGTGGTCGAGTTCATTCACGAATCCAAAGAATTAGAGGACATATGGAGGAATGAAGAAGAGCCGTCGATAACAGAATGCTGTTTTTGCAACTTTTCACTGTTATCAACAGGTGCCTCATTCATGTCCAAGACAAAAAATTCAAGATTCAAGACGCTTCAGAGAAATTTTAGGAAGGACATAGAGAATTAGGGTTCGATGGGAAGGGGAACTGCAGGAGTTGAAGAATTACAAGACTGTAAGCCACCCTTTTTATACAAGAGTTCTTCTCCTTGTTTCAGTCTGTTTATACAAAGCAAATGTTAATGTTCAAGAAATTGAAAGCTAAGAAGAGTAGGCTTGCTAAGTAGTAGAAGAACTTAACTTTTGCGGTGGCTTTTGATTCTGTCCTGATATTTTCTGTTGTGGCGGTGGCGGATTCGATTCTGATGGTGTTGAGGGGTGCTACTACTTCGTTGGGGCCGATGGGTTAATGGATTGATTCCCTTTGTAACAAGTATGAGAATTTGGTGAAAGGACACAAAGAGATGACTATAAAGGTTCAGTCATCGAATCGTCATCATGTGTTAGGATAATTCAACAGACAATCCAGAATCTTCATCGTGTGTTGGGATAATTCAACAGACAATCAAGCAGAGTATGAAGCTCTGATAACCGGCCTTGCTATTTTGTTAGAAATGGCCGTGAAAAATGTGCATATTATTGGATATTCCAACTGATATGACTTGCGTGGGTTTATTTAATATTTTGGACAATATTTAGATCCTTACTAGTAAGGATTTATAATATCCTCACTTCTTATGTGGTCCAATAAAAATAAAACACCTCATCTTTTATTAAATTAATAAAAAAAAAATAAAGAAAGATAAAATAAGCTGGATCCTACCAGAATGAAATCGGATAAAAAGGGTTGAGTTTTTTATTTTTATTTTTTATTTTTTTTATTTTTTATTTCTAGGTTCTCTTTCCGGCACCGGACAATAGTCCTCTCTCTCCGCCATCTTCCCTCGATCTCTCCACCATCTTCTTCCTCTCACGTTTGCAGTCATGGACATCATTATTCAATTGCCAAGAATATTTTAAGGAGGTATGATATATATTTTTTTTTTTTTACAAATTTAGGATTCTTTTTTTTAGAAAAGGACTTTTCATGAACAATCATGTGTTAGATTTTAGGATTCACATACATATTAACACAAAATTCAAAAACCCCTCCTAAGATTATATTCCTCGGTTTTGATATGATATTGAAACACCTTACCAGTGCCATCACAAAATTACCACCTACCCTTCGGCTGCTTTGTGAACCCACACTATCCTGACTGCCACCTCCCCTGGATTGCAAATTTCATGTAAACATAATACTGCACTATATTCAGTTCCTATTTAAAGAAAATGAACATGTTCCTTTAGGAATAATAGACCAAACTCTTGATTAATTGAGCCCCTTAATTTACAGACACTACACATCAACGTGGGCAACTCTTGGAAATATCTTCACAAACCCCCTCCCCACCCCCCACACATCAACCTGCAAAGAGAACAGAACATTCAATTCTTTTTGGTTGGTAACATTAATTCTAGAATGAAACAAGAGTTGTCGCCACTTCTAATAGTGTGCAAGTGTGTAAATTCCATATAAAATTTGGTACTTAAAATAGTCTACATAGCAGAATCAGAACCCTCAATCTAATGTAGAACCCTAAATCTAATGTGTTTCTTTCTCTCAATTTTTCCCCTTTTTTTGGGTCATTTAAATGCTGGATTTTTATTCAGGGAAAAAAAATCAATGAAATTTGAAAGAAGCTGAATAAAGAGGCCTAGGATCAGCCTGTCGCTTTTGATCCTCGAAACTGTTTCTCTCTCTCTCTCTCTCTATTCCCTTTCTTTTTATTTATTTTTATATAGTTGGTTATTTAAATGTTGATTTTTTATTCAGGGAAAAAATGAATGGAATTTGTAAAGAACCTAAACAAGGGGCCAAGGATTAAGTTGCCACTTTTGATCCTCCCAACTGGTTATTTACAGGGCCGGCCCTGGCCCAAGGACACCAAGGCGGTTGCCTTGGGCCTCAAATTTTAGAGGGCCTAATGAGGCTCACAGAGGATGGAAAAAAACTGGTCGCCTTGGGCCTCAAATTTTGAGGCCCAAATTTTGAGGCCTATAGGGTATGGAAAAAAACATAAAAATAAATGAAGTTAGGGCAAGTTTCAGACGACACAAACAATGTCACAATCTTCTTCGACACTCCGCAGGGCGCAGCCTCCGCTATCGCCTCAGGTGACAAGGTATGTTCATCCTGTTTCTCTCTTCTTTCTCCTTTTGCATGAATCGATCTTTTATATTTGTTTCTTTCTTTCTTTCATCTCATCATTTGATTTGTTCTAACTTTTGGTTCGTTTGATTCGGGCCTTTACCTTTGTTCCAATAGTGAAAAGTAGCTTCCAAACTAGGGTTTTTTTTGTGTGTGTGTGTGTCACTGTGTGTGATGTGTATCAAAAGCTGAATGAATATATTATGGTTCTCTTAGTATTTTAATAAATGTGTGCCTTTCTACATGTGTCTTTCATGGCGATCGAGTCCATTATATATGGCAGGCACTTTTTTTTTTTTTTTCCCTCTCCCTAATTTCACTCCAATCTCACAACAGCAGCAACCATACCCCTTTTCCTCAGAAGTTTTTGCATTTTCACATTCAATCCTACGAAAATTAAGGATCCCTTCTAGTGGGTTGAACCGTTTTTCGATCTCTAAATTATGCTGATACTTAAAAGTGCCAAATTAAGGGGTTTTTTATATTTTATTTTTATATGAAGATACATACCACCATTATTGATGTTATTTGAAGTTAGCTCAGCTAGAATTTCAGTTAATAATACTGTCAAAACACTTGCCATCAGAATGTACAAACACATGGAAATCAAGAGCAGGCTTTAACAAAACAAAAGTTAATGGTTTTTTCTATTAATATGCACAGGTCTTCTGTAGCAATGATCAATCAACCACTGCTACTAAAGTTGATTCCTCATCCTGAAATCAAGAAAGGGGTAATTGGCTCCCAAAAAAACACACACACAAAGTGTAGTTAATATAAAGAGTGAAAGACAAAACTATATATGATAGTGGATGCCACATATAACCTAAAAGTCCCACTACTTCTTTAGCACTACAAGTTCAGCCTCCTATATATATATAGTCACCTCATCTTCACATATTTTTGTCATCTGTAATCATCAAATTTTAGCAGCTATATAAACAATGAATGTAATAAAGAAGCTGCAGTTTTTTGTTCCTCATTTCCACTTTTGGACTGTATTTTGGATACTCTGTTTTGTCTTCTCTCCTCTCCTCTCCTCCAGATTCCAGTGAAAACTCCAGCCAGGAGATCATTCAACCAAACTGCTTGATTTTAGATTTTTTTTTTAATTATATTTATTGTATGATCGGCAATGCTTAGTTATTATTGTTTCTGTTTGATTCTCCATCCGTTTTATGTTAATTATGATCTTCTTTCACATGTTGGCAGGACACTCTTCTTAGGATCTCGTGAGGTTATTTGCCTTGAACTTGAATCAAATCATTGCATATTGAGGTAATATATATTTTCTTTAAACAAAGCAAATTATTATTATTATTTTTTTGAAGTCTAGTTTTATGTTGATTATGGTTCCTGTTATTTAGATTTCAAGAGATATCATTATATATACAAGAAAATTTGAATAAAAAAAAGGAAAAAGAAAAGAAGAGAGAAGAAGAATTGATTCAATCTCAAAAAGGAGATATTCTTAAGTTTTTTAGGAGCAATACACAAATAGAGAGTTTAGTTGAAGATTTGGTGAATGAAGAACATATGAATGCGAAAGCAAATGAAGAAAATCTCAATAAACGTGAAGATTTAATGAATGAAGATCATAGGAAGTTAGTCAATGAACATGAAGATTTAATGAATGAAGATTGTAGTTATTAGTTAGTTGTCTTGTGCACAATGCACATGCGTACAATTATATTAGCTATAGAATTTGAAAACATCGTGTGAAAATTCCGCACTCCTATAATTTTTTTTGCGCGTGTGAAGCTTAAGGGCCTCACATTTGAAAGTTCGCCTAGGGCCTCTCAAAATATTTGGAATCTCAAGGCCGTTCCTGGTTATTTAAATGATGGTTTTGATTGAAGGGAAAAAAAAAAAAAAATTCAATGGAACTTGCAAAGAAGTTGAACAAAGAAGCCAAAGATCAACTTGCGGCTTTTGATCCTCACAAGGGAGCACCTCTGCCAAAGAAGTTGAGAGAAGCGTTCATTTAATGAAAACTGAATAGGTTCATTTGATGAAAACTGAATAGGATTTTAGATATAATATTAGTATGTACCTACAATAATATTGACCATGGAATCCACCAGGGAGTTGTAAATGAATTCTGTGATCCTTTTGTAAATCTCCATGCTTGATGTCAATTTGTCACCAAAAAGGGGCAATTTTGAGTATGAGTTTGTTGAGAGTTGTAAATTTGTTCCATTGAATCTTTTACTTTGTTGTATGTTAACATCAATAAAATTTCATTTTTACTGCAATTGACCTGACTCACTGCGCAACTCACATAAACTTCTAGCAATCATTAGTCTCATTATAGATTACCACACGATACAACCAAAAATTATATATATATATATATATAAACTCCAAAGAAGAGCAAAACACCACTATTCTCTGCTTTTAAAAAGATGAATATTGCTATCGCAAATACATCTGATTAAATAAAGTACCAGTAGCTAATAATCGAATCCTAAAATGCCAATGACAATAAAAAGTAACAACTCTAACACCTCTCCAAAAACCAAGTAGAATGGTGTTCTTAATGAATTAAATATCTTGGACTGACTTTTGCTCAATCTCTCTTCCTTTTGCCTTCTTTTATACTTTGTGGGAGGTGACTAGAATGTGCCAAAGTCTCCTACAAAACATTTAAAAATTATTATTAAGACAAAGTTAGCATACATAAAACTTAAAATATATCCAAGAGAATAATTACCTGAAGTCGTCAAGTAAAATGCATATTGGCATTCCCATTTGTGTTTACACCCAAATTGTCATGCATAGAGATCATCGTCGAAGGAGTTAAAACTGGAGCTTGAATACCTTCCATTGTCAAAATATAATTCCTGTTACATGTAAAGAAGATAGTAATTCAACATTGAAAAATCATTATGAGTAAAGAAAAAGGAAAATTAAGGATTTTTCGTACATGATTCGGTATCACTTTATTGAATTCTAAGTCCATCCCAATTTGTTGTTGTGAACTACCTCCAAAAATGATAGATTCCTATGCATATTAATTAAGATGTTAACTAATATTTTTACCATCATTAGTTAAATAGCAACAACTAGTAATTTGGTAAGAGTGTTTTACTTGAGTCGGAATATCAAATCCTTGAACTCCATATCCAAGTTGTTGCTCATGTGAACCACCATTGCTAAGAGTAGAGTCCTGTATGAGAAACATAAGAACTGATACAAAAGGGTAAATGTCACTTGTTTAATCAACTAATAAAATTTTAAAGACTTGCCTTTTTAGATACTTGTCTTATTGGAGCCTTGGTATTTTTAGCACGAGATTTATACCTCCGTCGCTTAAGTACATTTTTCAATCAACCACGTGGACGTCCAACAGTGGCTTTTCTTTTAACCCCACAAACCCCTACTGATGTGCAATTTCCTAGTGCAGATGTCCTTTTAAATTCATCGTGGCCACCAATTGAACTTTCAACTGGTGATATTTGACCAAAATTTTCATTGTCCATATAGACATTTTTCTTAATTTCCTCCAATTCATTGAGCAACTTGATGGCACGTTGATTTGCATGTGTGTATAACATCTCATGTTCTGCTGCTATTGATGAAATCTCACGAAAATTACGACACAAATAACTATACCGCTTTCCCATGGACTCAATAGGATTATCATTGGTCTCACTCCCCAGATAGTTAGAGATACTTCTAGTTTTTGCGTCTCTCGTCCATCTCTTCAAGATATATTGGTGTGGGATTCTTTCACATTCTTTTTATCCAGCACCTTTGGTGCATGAGCACATAAAATACCAATAAAAGAAAATTTCATGCAACTACATATATGATTGTTTGCGATGGTTTCGTCATAAAGTAAAACTGCACCAAATACAAGTGTTTGCTTATGATGATTAACCCTAACAAATGATGCAAAAGGTCGTCCACACTCATTTGTTCGATAAGTTGTGTCAAAGCAAACAACATCACCAAAACGAGCATAATCACTAATTGAATGTGCGTCTGCACAAAAAATATTGGTGATCATACCATCCTCGTCAAGTTGAAATGAGGAAAAGTATGATGAATTTTCAAGCTGTTTCTTTTGAAAATATTGTAGTATAGCTCCAGCATCTCCCTTTTCCATTGCTGTCTTCCGTTTCTTATGTATGTAATTTCAATAATCTTTATCTAAAAATCCAAGATGTTCTCGCCCCCCAAGTTCTCCACTCATCAATTCCACAGTTGCTTTAATTGGTATTCCCGACTTTTCAGCATTATCAGCATGTTCTTTTTGAGCTTTAGATATGCTTTGATTAACTTTTAACATATGCTTCATTGGTGTTCTAATTAATTCATGATTATGCTTCCCATTAAATGACACCACCTTGTATTTGCCATTTTTTTGGAGGAGGCATGTCATATGAGCTTCACAACCAACCCGTGAAATAGGTTTATGATATGATGAATTTTTACTTCGTTGATTCTCCTTTTGATGACCTTCTTTTGAACAACAAAAGGTAACCCGGGTCAAAAATCCATCTTTATTTTTTTTATTATGTTCCTTCCTCACATCGAAACCTTATTTCCCACCATAATTAACATAAAACTTATATGCACCCTCATCCGAACTAGACTCCAATCCAAGTGTTGGTTCTTCATTTCTTTCTTGATATGTAGTTTTTGAACAACATACCTTAGTAGGGGAGGGACAGTGATCATCTACATGCAAATCAACTTTATAACCATCTGAAGCCTCATTGTTTAAGCTTTTATAATCTACGCTCTCCATTCACCTGCAATAAAATACATTACAATAAGAATTAATAATAATGATTGTTTAATTATGACCATCAAGAGAACGGTAATCAAAGCGGGACAACACTCAGTATGTTGATGTGTAGTGCCCGTATGTTAATGTGTAGTACCTGTAAATTAAGGGACTCAATTAATCAATAGTCTGCTATATTATTCCTAAAGGAACCTATTCATTTTCTTTAAATAGGAACTGAATATAGTGCAGTACAATGTTTGCATGAAATTAGCAATCAAGGGGAGGTGACAGTCAGGATATATAGTGTGGGTTCACAAACCAGCCGAAGGGTGGGTGGTAATGTTGTGGTGGCACTGGTAAGGTGTTTAAGTAACTTATCAAAACCGAAGAACATAATCTTAGGAGGAATCAGGTTTTTGAGTTTTGTGTTAATATGTATGTGAATCCTTAAGTTTAACACATAATCGTTAATGGAAAGCCCTTTTCTAGAAAAAGAATATATCCTAAATGTATAAACCAAAAAAAAAAATAAAATCATACCTCCTTTAAATATTCTTGGCAATTGAATGATGATGACTAGGACTAGAAACTTGAGAGGAAGAAGATGGTGAAGAAAGAGGGCTGAAGGCTGGTGCCGGAAAGAGCCTACACTTTTTCAAACCCAGAAAATAGATAAACATACGTTGAACCCTAGAAATAAAATAAAGAGAAAAAAAAAATACTAGACCCTTTTTACCGGATCTCATTCGAGTAGGATCCGGTTTATTTTCTCTTTCTTTATTTTTCTAACCTATTTAACAAAAGATGACATGTTTTATTTTTATTGGACCACATAAGAGGTGAGGATATTATAGATCCTCACTAGTGATGATCTAAGTTTCTCTCTAATATTTTTATCCTTGTTATCAAGAGGTGGCATTGCATCTTCGACTCTATAGGGTTCCCAAATATTTAGATAAAATTGGTGACTCACATGCAATGCTATGAGCTGATTCATATGCTTTCCTGCTTTCAATATTTCAGTAACTAAAATTGAATGATCCTGAGACTCTGAGAGGATTCTTTTATCAAAAGAGAAAAAAAAAACTTAGACTTTTCACAAGCTTTTCAAAAGAATGTATATATTTAAAAAAATAGGTTTCTTGTTCTGTATGTATCACAAGTTTATAAAATTGTACTGTTTAAATCTTAATTAACTTTACCATCTAGTCTAAGCCTATTGGTAATAAAATCACCGTGGTTGAGTAAAACTCATCATCTGGTTATTACATACTTTTCTTTCAAATGCTTCTATATTAAATACATGTTTCTTTGAATTTACATGTAGCGTTTTTATGTAAGAATCTGCATCTAATAATTCATCAAGAAAAATAGGAGATCCTAACAAGAATCTGCATCTAAAATGTTGATAGTTAGGTTATTAGCATTCAAGGGCACATTCTTATAACACCACCCTGCTATAGAGCAGGGGATCCGTGCTTTCACTAATGAAAAATCTCAATATTCTATCATGCTCATTTATTTATACCTTTAAACTTAAGTTGTTTAAAGGTATCATTGCATCCACATAATACAAAGTGAGCTCCATCCCATGCATCTTTTGGCTGGTCTTGCCCAGCAATGACAATGATATATTATGAAAATTACCGTTGTTCCTTTTTCTATGAGACATTTACACAAATTTGATTGTAATTGCCTTAACTAAAAAGACTTAACAATGGTAACCGAATTGCCTTGAAATAGGTATTTGGAAACTATAATTAAATCAACGTGAATTTAAAATGCTGGGAATTAACAATAACAGTAACAGAGGCAACAAACTACTTAAGGAAATAGAATTGCAGAAGGAATACGATAAGAGAGATCTAATTAATTGAAGAAACAAAACTTGGCTAGAATGACTACATATGAAAAATTAAATTAAACTAAGAGAGTTGAATTAAACTAAGGAAATTGAGCTTAACTAGGAAGAGAAATTGAATTCTTGTGAATAATTCAGAATTGCTGGACTTCTACAAAGAATGACGCTTCAACTATTTATAGAAAACAAAAGAAACCTAAACAACTAATAATTTGTTGCAATTAAGGACAAACCATCACAAAAGACTATTTTACTCTTTCTTATTAAATTTTTTATTTCTTATTAAATTATTTTTATTATATCTTCTCTAAAAATAGAAGAAAAATAAAAGAGTTGTAACTACCATTTTCCAAAATGATTAACTTATTATTAAATTATTTTATTTATAATAAAACTTATTATACTCGGTTTAAATATTTTTACCTTAAAAAATACATTCTTTTTCATATAAGATATTCATAAAAGTTAATAAATTACTTCAATGAAGAATACCTTCTTTTTTATGCAATATATTCATGAAAAATTACTTAAATTGTTTTGAAATTGTCTACTTAAGATTTTTATTTAAGTAATTAATTTTAATAATTAAAGGTAAATTTATACAAATTTAATGGAGAATATGTCATCAAATTAGTATGATTTTCGTATAATTTATTTTAATAAGAAAAATGAATTAAGTGTAATTCAATAAGAAAAGGACATTATGGTCATTTAATAAAAATAGCTTAGGAGTGATTTTGTGACAAAATGTGATAGTTAGTGGGTATTGTGTACAAAATATGCTTCAAATGAGTTATTTGTAAATTCAGACATAATTTTGGACTTTGTTTTTTCACTATACCCTAAAATTAATTAAGTGGTACTTTCCGAACGTATATAAATTTTAAAATATATATATTTTTTCTATAAAAATTCACCAAAAAATGGAATTCTAATTTAATTTGCATAAAACCAAAATCAATTAAAAGTTTAAATATTATATTTTAATGTTATCTATTTATTTTAACAAATACCTTTATCAGTTATGTCGCGCCCCAAGTTGAGGTCAAGAAACTCTTGCCGCCCTATTACTCAATGCATGACTTAATATCACAGTACCAACAAAATTTATTCCATAATTTCATATTCACATAAAATAAACCAATTGATATTCGAAAACTAAAAAAATATAATCATATATCCCACTACAAACAAAAGGGCCCTTCTAGACAAAAATAACTGAATTGTTTCTCCTACATTGTTAATTCAATAAGAATTCTTGAAACTAACAGATTTACTCATGGTCATTAATTCAATAAAAAAATTTCAAACTAACAGAATTACTCATGGAAATATTTTTTTATAAATTAATAAACAGTCTTCAAACCAAATTAAAAAAATTAATAAGTTCCAAAGTTTTCAACGTACTATGCCGAAATAAACTATCCAAAGTACATTCCTTCAATGCAAAACTAATTAAACAAACCAAATTATATTTTTCCAACATACCAAATTTAACAATCCAAATTACATTATTCTTTTATCACACCAAATTAAACAAACCAAATTACATTATTCCAAACCAAAGTACAAAAGTCTTAAAACAGAGATAAGTAGTTCACACATAAAATACATTAAAAACAACTCTCAAGTCTCTTTTAAGGTTTTCCATGAGAATTACATGAATTGTAGAGCTGAAAAGAAAATGATATAAATGTTACACCAAATTAAGAGTATAAATTAAAGAACAATATTCTTGGAAAAAAAAAAAAAAAACCAGAGAACAAAAAGAAACACTGAACTTTTACATAAATTAGTAAATATAACACTCGATCGAGCTCATACTATGCCTTGACACTATCCATAATGAGCTCAGGTTTTGATTAGTAAATATAGCACATAAGCTTATGTTTTGATTTTTGATTAGTTAAAATAACACTCAAGCTCCTGCCATGCCTTAAAAATGGGTATGATTAATATAATTGAAAGAATTCCAAAAGGTTTCTCTTTTCTTCTTTCCCATAGGTGAAAAATATAAAGGCACATGAATAGACCAAAAAAAAAAAAAAAAAAAAGAGTTTAAAATTCCATATACTCAATTGAATCAATCAATTATCTATTTTATCATTCAACCAATGAAATTCTGTCAAAATTCAATCAATGAAATTCTGTCAAAATCTCAACACTTTTCTTAATTTATCTATTTTATTTTCCAATCTACTTATTATTATTTTCATTTCTAATCTAACCACCATTAAAATATTTTGCATATTTAATTCATCCTTGAGGCAAATCTCTTCTATGTCGCGGCTGCAGCTTCTCTTCCTGCAGGGTTGTTCCACAGGTTGTGGACGGTTCTGGCTATTATCCTAATAGTATTGGCTGGATGGTAGTCAAATTGAATGCTATTGAATGTTGTTGTAGGGGGTGACACTCATCTTGTTGCTAGGGTTCCTTTTTTGTTAATTTCTGTTGCTCAGATTGAGCAAATGATTCCAGCGATATTAATATATTACTAAGATTTGAACTCTTGACCACCCTTTGGGAAGTAAATGTTTGATACCGCTAGACCACTAACTCATTGATTATTGTAATTTACTTTTGATGATTCTTGCTAGAGTTTTTTCATGTTTTCCACCCTATTTAGGGACACAAAGTACATTCATTCTTATTTATACACAAGCTTATCTTTTAAACCAAAAAAACAAAAATAAAAATAAAAAATAAAATAAAATTATGCGAAGGCATAGAAATGGGCCAAATTTCATGTAGTGTTTTAATGCAAGAATCTACCTCTTTAAATGCAAAGTTTTAATGCAAGAATCTACATCCACTTGGCCATTAAAGAAATAGGAGATTTGAACAAACTTCTTGTCCTCTGACTTGTCTTTGGAAAAGTTCATATGTTTAAGATCATTTTGTTACAGCTGTCATTTCCTCAAAATGAATCCATCCAAAGTGATAGATTTTAAATTAAGAGGTCGTCTAAAAAGTGAATCAGGCTGTTCAAAACTAGCTAGGGGGACATCTAAATGGGTCCTCTTTGAATGAAATGTGTAAAAGAAGGATGTGAAGTATGGACAACTTTTTCCAAAAAAATTGCAGCACAAAAACATAAAAGTTGTTAGCAGCTTCCAAATTTAGTGAAACTAGCACAGTTTAATTAAAATGAAGGATCTGAAATGTAGTACTAAAGCTAACAAGTGAAGATTTTCCTTTAAGAAAAATTTAGAATCTGCATAGCCCCCTAGCTCACAATAAAAAAACCCAAGTCACATTCGTTTTGTAAATTAATGAATTAGTAATACATACCAAGGTGTTATTTCACTTTCTGCTGCGATATTTGATAATCTCCTCCAAAATCTCCTCCCTCGCCGTCATTATATGACGGCTACAGTCATCAATATGTTTACTAAAACTCTTGATGGTTTGCGTAAACTTATTCAGCTCCTCTTTGATCGCATCCATAGCCAGCACCACAGCCGCCTCTTCTGTAAGATCCAAATCAGCATTCTTCAACATTGACTCAATCTCACCTTCCAATTTCTCCATACTTAAGTTAATGTTCTCCAACTCCGCGACTGCAATTTCTGTCCGACCCTCTAATGAACTAATTATCTCTCTCTGTGCTTTCAGTTCATCCTCATACTTCATACAAAGGGAATCAGTGCATACAATAATTGCCCCAAATCCTGCAGCTGCAGCCGGCAAGCCCGTCAAAGCCGTTGCAACAACACCACTCGTTGTCCCGATCAATTCCATAGCGGCTTTCCCTAAGCTCATCATAAACCCTGTTGAAGTAACAGAACCCGTTGTCCCCAACTCCGTAACAACACTAGCAACCAAGGCCGTCGCCATATTAGGTGCATAAATCGCGACCACCACAACAAAACATATCACAAGAGAAGCAACAGTCAACCCCAAAATTACATTCTTTACAGTCCTCCAAGTCTTCATTTCCTTCAACTTCTTATCAAGCTCACTCTTCTTAGCTTTCAATTTCTCTAACATTAACTTTTGGTTCTCATAAACAGATTTTAACAAGGAGAAGAATTCTTCAGTAAATGGGTTACCTGCATTCTTGAATTTCTTCAATTCCTGTAGCGTCTTCAAATAGATTTTCCTATTCCCATCCGACCCTTGTCTCTGTTCTTTCTCGAATTGCTGTAAACCGCCTCCAATCATCACTTGGCTGTCTCGGGCACGCTTGAGGCACTTCTCGAGAGCGTTACAAAACTTCAAAGTCTGAAAACTGTTGTCGAAGTAGTCCTTCCCAACATCACGCAGGTCATCATTCTTCACTATGTCAATTTTGCATTGGAGAATGTGTTCCCCCGCTTGTTGATTCATTTTAAGGAAGCTGTCTGTGAGAACTTTCAGTGAGTCCAGAGAGAGTGGCCGGCCCTCGACGCCCTCCGCGAAGGTGTTGATGACTCCGGTGGTGTTTTGTTGGAGGGCCGAATCAAATGCTTTGAGATATGGGTCGATTTGACACGCCGCATCATAGGAGCTAAATTCTGGCTCCACGTCTAGATGTTGTTCCTTTACTTTGCTAGAATGAACACCCATTGTAGTGCCAAACTTGGATTCAATAAAAGAGAAATTTTTGAAATTTGGAAGTTTGGAGATGTGTTAGATATGAAGATAGATAGTAGGTATGGCGATTCAGCTGCAATGACAGAGTTGAAACGGCCAAAAACCACCCCTCAAATCTAACTGTAAGCAAATGGAAAAATGAAAACAAACATTGTACAAATAGGGTGTCCAACCCGATTTAAATATTGAAATTAAATGATACTTTGGCCGGAGTCTTTACCAATGAAGTCTTCCGACTGAGTCTTTTGCTCGCATCACATGCATCTTGCGAAAGAATTGGGGGTCTGGTTGAGGTGAAAATCACCTGAAATAGTGTGGCATTTTTTTCATTTTGAAATGAGTGGTACATAAATGGCCATGTCATCCATGTAACACTTTCACCTTCAATTGTGCTAATAATTCCCTTGAAACATCTCTCAAATATAAATCTAACATAAAGTAATGCTGAAATGCATGTTTTTTTTCTTTTATTATTCTAAAAATGCCCAAGGATATGTATGCAAATAATCTCTTATTGCAAAGGTGTTATGTTCAAATTAATTATATTTAATCTACCTTTAAGGATTTTCTTACCTTTCAAAAAATAATAATAATAATAGACTCCTATCTATATATTTCCTCTAATAATATATTATCTCTTTGTATTATCTTTCCCTGAGTTAAGTTAGAAGTTTTACATTTCATAGGACTTAATCCCACTAATCCCACTCATAAGCTAGAAAATTATAATATATGTATTCTTCTACCGATCAAATGGAGATAAAAATAATAATTTGTTCTCACACTTGTCAGATTAATAGAGAAGTATATCATATTGAATGAAAATCTCAATTCTCTTTATAATTATTAAAATAATTTTTCCCTATTAAAATTTTATATAGTTATTATTTTTCATTAATTTAATTTAAAATTAAATTAAACCTACTTATTCATTATGTATATATAATACATTTAATTAAACTTTAATTTTGACAAATATATATATATATATAATTCTTTATATAGCAACAAATGGGTGTTGAAATTCAAAACAACAATATTTTCTTGGGTAAAGTGCAGAAAACATCCCAACAGTATCCTTACACTGCGCTCCTTGTGTCTATTTTCGTCATTTAACAAAATATGTATTTTTAAATAATATGTAAAATAGGTATATATTATATAAGGGCAATTTAGGTGAAATTATACCTTAAATGGGTCATGTAAGACTTATTTGCACAACGTGATATTTTAAGGTATTTTTCGCACATAAAGGATGTGATAAATATACTATAAAATTGTGTCATGTATGCATTAATTTTGTTCGCAATTACTTTAGGTCCAAGCAAGCCCAGCCCCAAACAACCTGCTAGAGTAAGATGCCCAATAACTCGAAAATGAAACCTTAATGAGTCACTATTTCCTCAAAGTCCAACTAAGTGATCAACCCGACGGTGGTAGGTATTTTGACACATGGTATACGTACCACTCCCAATCAAAACTACTCATTTTTATTTTGACACATGGTATACGTACCACTCCCAATCAAAACTACTCTCATTTTTATCTTGAAACTTTCAACTTCTTCATTTACCAAAGAAGATATAGAGCTATGATTGGGACCCAACACAATGTCATTAAGACTTTGTTCCAAGGATAAAAATAAAATGCAACTAGTTCAGTGAATGAATTTTGAAATACCATTAACTAAAGGTCACATAACAAAATTCAAAGCACATAAGTGATATATATATATATATATATATATATATATATATATATTAAAAATGTCCAAATAAACAAAGAAAAGTGAAACAGTTACAATTAATGTAAGTTTGTTTATTATCACGGACTTGGACCTTTTCACATGTTCACATGCGACCTTAGACATGTTCAAGCTCCCTAAAAATGCTAAGTCTGCCTACCCGAATTTGCTAATTTAGTGAAGACTAAGACTAGACAAGTGGTTTACTTAAGCGTGTAGGAAGAGTAGTAGTTTGTATGAGAGTAAAAACACTTGTATTGCTTAAGGGGAGCATACAACTTGATTGTTTAGTGAGGAACAAATGAACTCCCACAAGGGAGATATCTAGAATGGGGTTCTAGAATCCTCCAAAGAATAGACTACAAAGTACTAGAAGTATTTGCAATGTACAAGATAAATTTAGAGAATTCTAGGCTATTCTGTACAATGTACTCTAAACAAGTTCGGAATAGACTGGACAATTCCACACTATTCTAGAGAATTTCGAAAGGTTCACACTTGTGTAGAGAAGTCTAGAACATACAGGCTGCCATGTCATATCTTGTTGGGCGTCTGTGTGGCATAACCTCTGGCAGTGAAGCCTTACATAATGCCTTCTTAATAATAGTGTTACATATAGACAAGCTTGGTTCTTTCATATGAGAGAAAAGTTGTTCCACACAAATTAAACATTAAGCAACGGGGAAAGTTGTGAAATCATATTTTTGGGTGTCACATGATTTGCTCTAACTAGTTGGTTGTGTTCATACTTCTTCTTCCTCTTCTTTTTTTTTTTTTTTTTTTGAGTAAAGTAGGTTGTGTTCATACTCCATAACAATTTTTCCAACATATTAGCTACTCAAATACTAATCAATTGATTTAAATTAAACAACATAATCCGTATATCTTAGCAAATTCAATATAGACATGAATATATATATTTGTATGTGAATGAGGAACACTAACCATTGGATCTCAACCACGTCCATGCCACAAATTTTGCGAAAATTACATATGTAGGATTTGGCACTTAGCATAATTGGGAACATATATCTCTATATGCATTATTAATTGTGTAGTGAATTCTTTATGGGAGTAGTTGTGAGACTCGGTCTTAAGAAGCTTCAATGAAGGTTGAAAACGTCACGTGATGAGAGTTGAATAATGAACTATCATGCATCATGGCCTTATGTCAGATAACCTTCCATGCTCGCAACAAATTAATAAATCAATAATACAGGATAATCATATATATATATATATAATATAATATATAATTGTGATACATATTTTGATAATCGAACACAATTAATTAAATTGACATAAATATGAAATGACGTTATCACGATGTCATACTTATTTTTAAGTTAGATGATTGATCTTAATCGGATAACGTTTTCTCCTGCAAATATAATAGAAAAATGAAAACAGACATTTGCAAAAATAAGAAATAAAAAGAGGAAACAGAGGTACTGTTTGGAGTTGACTTTGCAGATAGGGCAAAAATTTTGGAATGCAGAGAGTAACCTTCACAAGAAAGACCCGCGCATCATTGTTGAGCAAATCATGTTCCCATAAGCAACAAATTTTTTTTTTTTTTTTTTTTCCGGGTAAGTCCCATAAGCAACATCTCACCCTACGTAATATTTGAAAATTATTATATGGTCCTCCAACATTTGTCTCTGGCCGATTATTAAGTTAACTTTCATATAAATATTTTGTTATGAAAAAATGATAGAACAGGAGTTTATGAGAATAAGAAAAAAAAAAAAACAAGAAAAAATAAAATGGCACACATACAAACGAGATAAAGATTTACGTGATTCGGTTATACCTACATTCACGGGGAGAAGACAGAACAATATTTCACTATAAAATAAAGGGATACAAAGCAAAGTGGCTCACACCCAAAACCCAATTACACCCTTGAACATCTCACTCACTAATTGATATTACAAGCTCACTCTCAATTGATGATTTTTGGATGCCTTAGAAGCATGTGATACATGTCTAGTTATAGCTAAAGGATACCAATATATGCTTGCCGAGCAAGCATTTTTCTTGTTAATCACACATAGGATGGGCTGCTTGGTCACCACGCATAGTTGGGAAAGCTTGTTGTTCACAATTCTTGTAGGTCAAGATGATGATGTAGCAAATGATGCAATGGGTGATGGAAAAACTGATGTCATGAGTGAGTGAGTTGGAAAATTTTGAGCCACAATATTCTAACATATTTCAACTTTATTCAATATTTTTTTGGTTGCGTGTCAATTAGTAATAGATCAGACCATGTACTAATCTCTCAAAGTCCCTTTCTTTGATGATAAAATAACTTCCATCTAATCTTTGTGTGTGAAACTAATAACTAGAACCGGACCATTTATAGCACAGTATGCACAGACCAAGGGGGTGTGCCATTGGCTTGTTAGTGTACACGTGTAAGCACCTTCAAAATATTATAGATTTTTCTTAGTAAAATAAAATAATAAAAATAAAATAAAAAGTTAATTGCATTGATACTTCTTAAGGTTTTGGTCAACACCGTTAAGTGGACGACTTTTTTTATATTGACTATCCCTAAGGTTTAAAAAATGTACATTGACACCCCCTTCAACCTCTAAAATCATATGAAATAACTTTTTAACCATTTAACTTGTCAACAACTTTATTTAAATCATGAAATTACAAATTTAACCTCATAATTAAATTTAATAGAACAAACTAACATTTTTATCTCTTCTATACATATAAATATAGTTTATATATACTAATACTTATATCATCATAAACACAACCACAACCACAACCACAACATAAAAATAAAATAAATTAAATTAAATTAAATTAATTTTTTTAAAATAGTCAGATAAACTGTATACTACCACAATCCCCACCACCACACCCAAACACCATAGTACAAAAATATAAAAAATAAATAAAAACAGCAATGGCCAACCCAAACTTATACATCCCAAACGTCACCAAAACCACCACCACATGAAGACATGCAACACCACCAACACACCTAGATGGTACCAGAACCATTACCACCACCATAATAGAAAAAATAAAAATAAAAAATTTTAAAACACTCTGATAACTTAAACACCACCATAACCACCACACTAAAACAACCACCACCAGAGTAAAAAAAATTTAAAAACAACCATGACTAGCCCAGACCCACCACGACAGGAAAAAAATAAAATAAATAAATAAAGATGTCCGAGATCGAGAAAAGAGAGAGGGAGAGTTAGCTGACAACAGTTAGGTACTAAAATGAACCACCAAAAAAAATAGTTAAAGATTAGGGTAGAGAAAAAAGCTTAATGGTGAGGGTAGTTTCGTCAATTAACAGGGCTGATATTTTGTAAATTAATTGAATTAAATAATCAGGGTAAAATATGACATTTGAAACATGTCATTGTTAAAAAAGTCGTTTACCCTCATCTGAGTGACATTGACAGAAACATCAGGAAGTGTCAATACAATTTATCCTAAAATAAATCAAGGCAGCTCAAAGACTTTTTTTTAGTCCTATTGATTTG